TTTTTTGTTTTTTTTTTTTTTTAAAAAAAAAAAAAGGAAAATGAAAGCTATCACTCATGGAAGAAAGTTTTTATTTTTTAATCACATTTTTATCCCTAATTTTCTCTCTGATATTTCCAGTTGTGTTTTTCAGTCACCAGAAGCCTACATTTATGGAAAATCAAGTCTATCCAGTTATTAGTGTCAGCTAGGGAGAGGAACAACACAAAGCCAGGATTTGGAGCCAGCTTCCTGGGCAAACTGGGGAGAAATACCATTTTAGTCAGTTACCTGAGACTGTTCAGGTTTAATTACATTAGTGGCACTTGACATTATAAAATGTTTTTTTCTTTCAGATGTAAACTTCTTCCATCATTAGTAAATGTCAATTATAATGAAGTGTTTTTCCCAGTTCCTTTTTTCCTGATATAACGGAAGAAAATGCTAATGAGTTTGTAATCCTGAAATTGTTTTCAAAGCCAAAACAAAGTCAGCTTGATGTCTGTTTATTAGCTTAATTTTATTCTCTGTATTTGGAGAATAAATTTTCTCATTTTATTTCTTACTATACTTTCCCTACTTGTGCAATTTCTTATTCTCCCTGAGAGCTTTTAAATGATAAATATTACCAATTAGATTGTATTTCTGGGTTCAAATCAGAATGACGTTGAAGATCTTGCCCCTTGCCGTGACTCAAGTACTACTGAAAGCTTCTATTTTTTTTTTTCTTGAAAGCTGGTTTTTCCCTCACTCTTTTTTGATTTTGATACATAATGGCTATTCAACCCTGTGGTTTCTAACAGTTTCCTGTAGCATTTCAATCAGAATATAATGGTGACTTGATTTCTTCTCTCTCAAAGATTAAATATACCCACAATATGAAATCGATGCATTTTATAACAATACAACAAGTTTCTTTACTGTCAAAATGAAATTAACATCTTATGAAAAGGGGACAGCATCACTGGAAGAGGTCAAGAAGGAAGAGAGAGATAAAGTCAGTTTTCCAACACAACATTACTCAGTGTCTGTGCTGAAAACATGCTTGACAGAAAAGGTCTGCGTCACCTTTTAGCAGTGTCTTGGTATACAGGTTGTTTTCCCCTACTGAGAAATTAGGGGGAAGCTGTCTATTGCAGTGCAGAGAAGGCAGCAGGCATGGGGTTCCAACCTATAAGAATGCTTTGTAATCAATGCCAAAAAAAAAGTATGACCAAGAGAAAAAAAAAGCCATTTAAAGTTACTTTAAAATAGCCAAAATAAAAACGGTAAATTACATTTATAGATAATATGTTCTGGAAAATATGAACCCAAGCCAAATACGGAAAATTTTTAAAATAGACTAGTTATAACTAGTTATGCTTCCCCAGAAATCTTACACATGTCACAAAAACTTTGCTCATTCTTTGCATTTTAAACAGTCTTGAAGTTTGATTCTGGTATTTTATCCACGTTATCTAATTTTCTTCTTTGTTTCACAGTTGGATATACTGCTAACTGAATTAAATCCAATGAATATATAAGAATATCCAAATAAGTTCAAGATTTGCTTCTTTCTGCCTAATTTGTATATTTGTCCCAATGAGCTACACTTTACGACATCTATGTTTATCCCTAGCATCTACATTTTTATTTTAAAATATTTATAAAATAGTAAGCAAAGTACAGTAAAATATTCAAATAGTGGCCAAGTAATTTCTATCATATATTCATGCAATTATGCAGCATTGCATTTTTATTATTATGGCTGGGATTCGATTCTTTTTATAAATTCATTAGTCATTTATATGCCTTTTCATAAATAATTTTTACTATTAGGATCACGAGGTCAGGAGATCGAGACCATCCTGGCTAACACGGTGAAACCCCATCTCTACCGAAAACACAAAAAATTAGCCGGGCGTGGTGGCGGTGCCTATAGTCCCAGCTATTCGAGAGGCTGAGGCAGGAGAATGGCGTGAACCCAGGAGGCGGAGCTTGCAGTGAACAGAGATGGCGCCACTGCACTCCAGCCTGGGTGACAGAGTGAGACTCCGTCTCAAAAAAAAAAAAAAAAAAAAAAGAATATTTAACATTTTTAGTGATGTCTTGGTACCATTTTACATATTAAATATATTAACCTTTGATCTCTCTGGTCTAAGGCAAATATACTTCCCAGTTTATCATTTGATGTTCTATCATTTTAATTTTACTTTTTTTATATTCAAGGGATTGACAGATTTTCATGTGGTGAAATCTACTTTCTTTTTTTGTTTTCTGCCATTGATAGTATGTTCTGAAAGATCTTCCTCACCTGTTTTACATTATTTCTGCTATTTTGAGTACTATAATCTGTTTTCATCCTACTTTTGAAACTGTATTTTCTGTAAAATTACCAAATAAATACCTTCTAGTGAGGTTGGCCTTACCCCTGCTCCAAGAGTAGAATTGTTGGCTTCATAAAAATTCATACTCTTAGCTAATTTTCAGTTCCATTTTATACCCTACATTCTTCCAGAATCATTCACTGATTCCCAGCCTTCTTTGATCATTCTTCTCTAAACTTTCAGGAGTCAAATAGGATATAACACAAATTGGGAAAGAGTTGTAGGCAATCTTTAGTTTCACACTGCTGTTCATGGTGGGGTGTAAGCATCTAAGTAGGTACATACCTAAGGGTGAAGAACAGCAAATTCAACATGAATCCTTCCCAATAGTGACCTTATGAGACATTAATTTCATTTTGATGGTAAAGGAAGCTGTTCCTGTGTGCAACACATTAGTTTTGCCTCCAAAGCCTGTTAAATCTTAGGGGTAGCTGGGATGCACTCTGCATCCAAAGGAGGCATCTCTGGGATAAGAGAGTCCAGATTGACATCAGAAAGAATATCGTATTTCTGTCCAAAGTGCTAAGCGTCTAAAGAGAACTAGGAAAGAGAAGTTAGATGCCAATCTCCAGGGAAAGTGGCAAAGAGAGAAACTGAAGAACATTTGAATTATAAGTGATGCCCCAGGTCCTGAGGAGGGAGTTTGAATTGAGGAACATTTACTCTAGTTACACTATAAGGTATATGTGATATATACAGGTCCATTTTGGTGATGTATCTGCCTCTGATTCCCAAATTTAACTGTTATATGCCATCTCTTTTGCAAGTGTCAAACATCTGTACTTGTAAGCTGCTATCTTTATCTTGTATTAACCTTGCTGTCCTGCATCTAAGGAATAAAAGCTAGTACTTGCTATTTATTGACCAATTTTTGTGTGCTGCTCTCTGTGAGAAGCACTTTATATGTGTTACTTCATGGAACCCTAACAAGCGTGCTAAATGTTAGAAGGATTTGGTTTCAGTAACTTGGCCACATTCCTCAGCTATCTAATGGGAGAGAAGGCCCTCAAATCCGGATCTGTCTGACTCAAACATACATACAAAGCAGATATTTTTATTCCCATTTTAAAATTGAATAAACCAAGACTGAATTGCAAGCTTCTTAAAAGCAGGGACCTTTTTATAAACTTCCTTTTCTCCCCACAGTGGCTTGTACTTAGTAGGTAGACAAATGCATAGTGGTGGAGCTAATATATTCCTCTGATCTTAAACTACAATAAAAAGCTCAGATTGTAAATAAATATGATCTTTCTATTTGTTTGTTTTCTATAGTCAGATGCCGCTTAATGGAAGTAAACAAATGTCGAAGGTACTTTCAGCGGGTTCTTTACCAAAAAAAGAGTTTTTCAGAATATTGCAGAACTGCCATATAAAAATCATTAGGACATAAAAGTGGTTTAAAAGAGGTAGCAGCTTATCCTAGATCACAAAGAAAAGAATAGAAACAAAGAAAAACATAAAAAAAAAAAAACCCTCTGCACTTTAACTCCATCCTCCCACATTCTGACTTTTTGTTATTACAATTTACATATATTTATATTGCTTATATCTTAACAGATTGTTGTAACTATTGTTGTTTTGATAGATTTGTCTTTTGGGCTTCATACTACAGTTATGAGGGGATTGCTACCACAATTATAGAGTATTGTTGGTTTGTCTATGCACTTAATTTTACCAGTGGGTTTTATACCTTCAAGTGTCTTCTTTTTGCATATTAATGGAGTGTTTTTTCAAACTGAAGAACTCTCTTTAACATTTGTAGATGAGTGTGGTAGTGGTGAATTTTCTCAGTTTTTGTTTGCCTGAGAAAGACTTTATCTCCTTCATAGATAAAGGATATTTTTGCTGGGTACAGTATTCTTGGATGGCAGGTTTTTTCAGCACTTTGAAAATGCAGTCCCACTCTCTCCTGGCCTTTATGGTTTTCATTGAGAAACCTGTGGTCAGACAAATTGGAGCTCCTTTATATGTTATTTGCTTCTTTGTACTTGCTGCTTTTAGGATTCTCCATTTGTCCTTCACCTTTGAGAGTTTGACTATTACATGCCTTGGGGGAGTCTTATTTGGGTCAGATCTGTTTGGTATTCCCTGACCTTACTACATCTGGTTATTTATCTCTTTCTCAAGCTTTGGAAAGTTTTCTCTTATTATTTCTTTAAATAAGCTTTCTATCCCTTGCTCCTGCTCAACTCTTTTGAACACCAATACTTTTTAGATTTGATCATTTGAAGTACAAATATAGAGTTTGGTAGAAGAAATAAGATGCAGTGTTTGATAAATCAGTAGGGTGACTATAATTTACAACAATCAATGTTTTGTATGTTTTAAAGTAGCTAAGAGTGAATAATTTGAATGTTTCTGCATAAAGAAAAGACAAATATTTAAAGTGTTATATATCTAATTATACTGATTTGATCTTTAAAAATTATATAAATGTATTAAATTATTACATGTACCCTGAAAATATCTACATCTATTATGTATCAGTAAAAAAATCATTTTGAAAAATCATTAGGGGAAGCAAGACTAAAAAAGATAGCTATACACAATGAGTACACTTTAGACTCTATTGTGACTCTTTTTGGAATTATTAATCATTTCCCAAAAATGTATTGCCTCATTTCTGAAGATTATCTTTTTTTTTTTATTCTTTAGGACACAGCAGGCCAGGAAAGATACAGGACTATCACCACAGCCTATTATCGTGGAGCCATGGGCTTTATTTTAATGTATGACATTACAAATGAAGAATCCTTCAATGCAGTACAAGATTGGTAAGTTAGAGCAAATACTCTTATTGCTGATAATAATGGTTCTCCAGTCAACTCCTTCTTTCTCCCCAAAGCAGTGACCATACCGCAATGTAATGTATGTGTTTACATTATACTACAATCCCACTTGTGCTTCATTTAAAAACAAATGCTGTTTATGCACAGAAGCATTATTTAGGGATTGATAAGTCATTCTGATGATTTTTCTGCAGTTTGTTCATTTCCAGTGCTTTGCATTTTGTCATCATTGCTTCCATGGAAACTAGTGCATTGCTTTTGATTTTTTTAAATATAAATAATGAATAGTTTGGAAGTTTACTGATCTAAAATAGGGATCGAGAAACTATGGCTCATGGGCCAAATCTGGCCCACTGCTTGTTTAGTAAATCAACTTTTATTGGAATAAACCCCCCTCATTGTTGTCTTTGACTGCCTTAACACTACCACAGCAGAGTTAAGTAGTTGCAACAGAAACCATATTGCTGGTAATGCCTAAAATATTTCTGATCTGGCCATTTATGAAAGAAGTTTATGGACCTCTCATCCAAAAGATTTGTTAAACAAGTTATTCAAATTGAAAAATTTTGAAGGACTGAGATAAAGGATTAGATAAAACCAAAACCATTTCTGACTCATAGCTGCATCAAACTATCTGAAAATACTTCTGACCCTGATGAGTGTTTACAGTGAGGGTTTATTCCTATGGCTACAGTATCCTGCATTCTGTCCCACCAGCACCTTGAGAGGAGACACTGAAAAGCCAAGGAGAAGGGTTATGAGCTCAAGCACAGGGCTAAAGAGGGCAGTTTGTCTGTGGAAAGAGCAAGAATCTATGTAGGGCTTTGTGTGGCATTAGGAGGGAAATGGAGCTCCCAAAATGGAGCTCCCACTGGTGATGACTAGGACTGACTGAAGAAATACCACACTATAACTGTAAATATAATAACAGACTATCTTATGTAAGGAAAACTTTGACAATACGTAGGCAAAAAAATTCTTTTTTTGTTTGTTTTCTATGATAATATTATCTAAAATGTTTTTTACATATATATATATATCAGTTCAATGAGGGTCAGATGCTATTAAAAATATTTCCATTTGCTTTTTTTTTTTTTTCTATTTTAATTGTTCATCTAGGAAGACTTCTTATTTGCACACACACACACAGAGTTACAATGCAAGAAATAATACTATTGGCGATAGCAATTCAAAAGAGAAATACAGGGTTATAAATTAAAAAGACAAGTTTAAGATGTATATGAAAAAATAATTATCTTCCACTGAGGAATACAGAAGAAAGCTTAAATAACTATTATTTTTATATTATTTTCAAGAAAGCTTAAATAACTATTCTTTTTAGTAAACTGAATATTATAAAAATGCCAGTTTTTCTCAAATTAATTTATAAACTCAAGGCAATCTCAATTAAATACAGCAGATTTTGTACAAAATGATATGAAATATAAAATCCAGAGATAAGCACAAATCTATATAAGGATATAGTTTATGATAAAAGTAGCATTCAAGTTAGTGACAAAAAGGTTGGTTCAATTAAGAGTGTTATGACATCTAGTTAATTGTCACATATAGCATGAAACACATATTGCTATATAATATGGTAATTTTAACCTTGACTACTTTCTGTCTGAAAATGTTGAGATCCAGGAGTCCCAGGTCAGAAGTGCTCTTTTAAGCTTTCCAAAAGAACAAGATCTTAAAAATATGGAAGACCTCTGCCCAAAAGTCCTGCCTCATTAATGCCTGTTGAATTAATTAAAACTTCCTCAGCCTGACTTTCAGACATACATATTGGTGCCACTATGTCTTCATGGCTTCATCTCTTACTATTCTAGAAGCAAACAAAACCATTCATTGTTTCTGGAGCCCAGCTTAAACTTTCCAACATTTGTGCTTCTTTTCTTCTATCCTTTTTTTCTCTGCTTTGCATGTCTCTTTCCTCAATCTGCTACTCCATCTGCCCCAAGGCATATAGATTTGTCAAAAACCAACAAAAGCCCCTTCTAGAAACAAACCCCTTTTTTTTTTATCCAAAATTATATGATCACTTGATTTATTAGGGTTTTTAAATTCATTCAACAAGCACTCATTGAGCACCTAACTCTTTGACAGCCAATCTGTCAGACATAGCATTTAGTACCTATGCCAGCATTTACTATCTCAGTTAATAGATCCACCATCACCCAGTTATCTGATGTAGAAATATGAGCAATGTCTTTTCTTTCTTCCTCTTTTACGAATAGAATCTTATTGACCACCAAGTTCAATCATTTTGACTTTCCAAATGCCTCTCCAATCTATTGCTTTTTTTTCTTCCTATTGCCAATGTCTTAATCCAAACCATTCATTTAGGAGTCTTTTATCTTGTCTCCTTATCTCAGGTTCCACCCTCTCCAGGTCATCCATCTGATTGCCATCAGAGCTACATAAGTGAACCTTAGTACATCTCAGGCCTTAAAAATAAAACTTCCAGTAACATCTTATTATGTACAGTAGTGATTCTGAGAGCACATGTTAATCACCTGTAGAGCTTTGACAACATATACAAGCCCAGGCTCCACTCTGGATCTACTAAACCATGTCTCCCATGAGATACATGGGCATATGATTTTTTCAAGGCTCCACAAATGATTCTGAAGCTCATTTCTGGCTAAGACCATTGATTTATAATGAAATCCAAACTCGCTAACATAGTGGACAGTGAAACCTCCAAGTATCTATTTTACTGACATCATCTCCTACCACTCTCTTCCATTTGCTCTATGTTTCATCTAAACAGAAATTTTCTGTTTACCTAAACTCCATCCTTTTACTACCTCTGTTTCTCTGCCTGAAATACTTTCTCTGTTATCTTTAAAAAGTCTATTTACTTTTCAAGGCTATCTCTTTTACAAAGCTTTAAAAGGTATCTCTACCCCTTTTCCTACCCCCTTCCACCTTTATTCACAGCGAACAATACTAGCCATACCCTCATCTCTGCACCCACACTACCCTAGCACTTTCCGAAGATCACAGAAGACCTAGCAGACTCTGCTATTATTTCATTATATTTTCAATAATCATTTTCCCCATTATAGAATACAATACAATACAATACAATATATACACTCTTATTTTTTCTCATTTCTTTATCATGGTAAAATATAATGTAAAATTTACTGTCTTAACCATTTCTTCTGTATATAGTTCAGTAGTATTAAATACATTCAACCGTCACCACCATCCATCTCCAGAATTCTTATCATCTTGTAAAACTTATATTTAAACGGTAACTCCCCATCACTCTCTCCCTGCACCTCTCAGCAAACACCACCCTGCTTTCTGTCTCTGTGATTTTAACTACTTTAAGTAGCTCATATAAGTGGAATCATGCAGTATTTGTCTTTTAGTGACTGGCTTATTTTACTTAACATACTGTCCTCAAGTTTCATCCATATTGTAGCATGTCAGAATGTCCTTCCATTTTATAATATTTTATTATATATAATGAAATATACATTATATATATCATATATGTTTTATATATAATATAAATACACATACACACAATATATGTTATGTAATATACATTGTGTGTATATACATATATACACACACAAAATATTGTATTTTATATTTATATATTTATATTATATATATACACACATATGCGTATACTATATTAATCCAATATATATTTTGAACAGATGATCTAAAGTACTAAACAGAATTACATCCTGATTTCCCAGCAAAAAATATAGAAATTACTTCAAACTGATCTAGCCAGGAATTAATGGTTCTATTCTTCCTCTCAACAATAGATTTAAGATTGTATGTGTATTGCCGCTATGGCACCAATTATATTTAATTTTTTGTTTTTCTTAAGTGTATACTTATCTTAGGTTCCTACTAGATTAGAAACTATTTGTAGGGAAAGACTATCTTATTTATCTGTATTTCCTGTTTGACAAATAACTAGCACAAAATGGATATTTTAAGAATTATTATTAATTTCAAAAGTAAAAAAAAAATCAGAAATCTTAAGAAATGTTTAAGGAATAAGAACAGAATTGTCTAATAAATGAAAAAAGCCCTTTGGGGAAAACTATTCCAGTGCAGCTACTAAAACTTGCTTTACATGTACAGTATAATTGAATGGTGGTTGTGGGTGAGGAAGCTTGCTGATATTCAGTGATGGCCTTCTACAACAAGAAATAAGGCATTCTGAAAGAAATAAGCAAGAAGAAACACATTCTTTAAATTACTGGTCTCCAAGTGCTGATCTTAAGTGTTTTAAAAAATACACAAAAACATATCTAGCAAAAAGAAAAATTAATTAAAGCTGAACTGCAGCTAAAGTTTCAGCTACTCTTCCCAACAAAATGCACTTTGATTATTCAGAAAGAAATAAAAAGCTTGCTGACTGTGATTTCTCCAGAATCCTAAAACTATCTTACTATATAGGAAGAATTAAAGTTCCCTTTTTAAAAAAAAAAAAAATTATTACACACAAATTCTGGTCTGTTAAGGAGAAGACAAGTGTATTAATCTGTTTTCAAGCTGATAATAAAGACAGCCAAGACTGGATAATTTATAAAGGAAAGAGGTTTAATTGACTCACAGTTTCACATGGCCGGGGAGGCCTCACAGTCATGGCAGAAGGTGAAGGAAGAGCAAAAACACATCTTACATGGCAGCAGAAAGAGAGCATGTTCAGGGGAACTGCCCTTTATAAAACCATCAGATCTCGTGAGACTTAGTATCACAAGAACAGCATGGGAAAAAACCCGCCCCATCATTCAGTTACCTCCCACCAGGTTCCTCCCATGACACCTGGGAATTATTACAATGCAAGGTGAGATTTGGGTGGAGACACAACCAAACCATATCAGCAAGCATGGAGATTTAGGGAGAGTAGCAAGCAGCAAGCTAACAGATTATTTTGAGGAAATGGAAGCTATCTCTTTTTTGAAAACACATTAGACTGTGCTTTGAATTTTCCAGTG